TTAAACTGAAGATGGAACCTTCTTTTTTCAAAATAAGTTTGCCCGGCACTATAACCAGACAATCTCTCACAATGGTAGATCTGTGTCTCCCTTCGTACAAATTAAAATCTGGAATGGATTATTTCAATCCCTTTTACGACGATTTCCAATTCAAAGAAACGGTGTTTCTTGTGCAAGAAAAATTGATAAATCACCCGAAAGACATAATCGTTCTCGCTGGAGTTTCGGGAGGTGGAAAAACATCGACAGCATTTGGAATTTCTATGCAACTTTGGTCAATATATGTTGATTATTGTCCTAGTGGGGGACAATATGGTGATTTTATGGGCCAGGAACTTGAAAGGATCAGAGCTAGACCACCAAAGTACGGCCAAACTGAAGAACAGAGTAAAATATTTGACATGCTGGACTTAGCAATAATCGCACGCGGGCTTTTACTTATCAAGATGCTTGTTCTGGAAAAAATTTCAACACCACAGGAATGGCTTTTTGCACAGCTTCGAAATACCAAAGAAATTCAAAATAAGTTGCATAATATACATAATATATCTTCACTTATTTATTACATCAATGAATGTCTTAATGTGGAATCTCTAATTTTAATATTTGATGAGGCGCAAGTCCTTTGCGGACCAGAATATGGAGAATACAACGGGAGTTCATCATTAGGAAAAAAATGGAATCTCTTGCAGGCTTACATTGAACATCTTACTCATCTTCCCGTCACTTCTCTTATTGCCGGCACTTATATGCATATGGCAAGTGGAATTTCTCTTGTCACTAGTGTTGAAAAAGTCCAAGGCTTGCATGCTCATATTGTGCTAAAGCTTCCCTTCCTTTCACAAAATGATGTCCTGCGGAACCTTGATACCGTAATCGACCTGACAGATGTTAAACCTAAAACACGCGATTACTTAGGATATATGCTCAGAGGACGACCTCGAAACTGTGCATCATTTGTTTTGAAGTTGATATCGGAGCGGGAATCAAAGGGTAGATCGAAAGATCAAGAGTTGCGAGAACTTCTTTGTTCATGGTTCAAACAAATAAGCCATGATATGGCAGTATATTTGGAAAATGCATGTAAATCTTTAGGTGCAAATAACATCAATTCAGAAACAGCAATTATAGATGTTCTTAGGCTTCGTGTTTTTTACAATTGTAAGTTCAAGCAAGCTATAGAACTACTTCAACGCAGCATCATTCCTTGCCAGTCACCAGAATGCATAATTCTTCGCCATGATGACGCTTATTCTAATGAGATTAAAATCAATCCATCATTTGAATCTTACCTCGTATCTGGCATCGAAATGTTTCTTCTAAAAAGAGGGAAAACTTTAGTAGATGTCTTCGTTGAAAATATTATCAGACTCAATAATACCTCATCAATTGGCAATGAATTTGATGCGGTCTTTATTACGGCAATGATCCAGAAACGTGGGCGTAATGTGCGAGAAGAGCTTAATAAATGGAAAAATGGTCAAATTTTTGATCTTCCTTCATGGATAACACCCACAATGAAGTTTATAACAATTTCAAACCTATCAGGAGGAGTTCCTATAGCAGAATATGTTGATAATACGACTTATTACTGTTCTTATGCAATCCAACCGGACAGATTCTCAGGTTCAGACGTAGTGATTTCTTTTGCGGATGATGAGCAAAATATGGTATTATTATCAGCAAGCTGTACAGTTTCTGGAGGACCTATTAAGCGAAGTAAGATCAAAGAGCAGGTATTCAAGTCATGTATGAAGTTTCAGTATATGGAAAACACGAGAAAGAGGAAAGGGAAAAATTCCCAAATCGAGGATCATGAGGGGGGATTTTCTTGGAAAGAACCAGAGTGTCTTCAAATAGGTCTTGGTGAATTTTTACCAGTCAATAGAGAGGATAACTCAGAAAAAGAGAGGGAAGAGTATGATCAAGGCTTTAACTATGATTTGGATTATGATTTTGACTATTCTAACAACTTGAAGGACTACCAAGTATCTAAGGTCATTGAGCGTGCAAAGAATCATGAAAAAATTAAGATTTCTACAGAGAATAGAAAACATATTTATGTTTCAGTGGAGCTTCCACATCGAGCTAGCAAAAGATCAGAGTTGTTTCGGTTCAATGAATATGGTGACCTCGTGATTATTGTGGATGATCGTAATATGGAGAGTGTTTTTGGATCAGTCATTAAAAAGTTAGTGGAAAGAATTAGGTGCGTATTTTACATAATAAGTTAGCAACAAATGCATCTTAATGTGAGAATTTTTATTCCTAGTGAAAGTCAAGAAAATTCGATGGATCAAACAGAATAGTATAACATTTTCGTTAGATTCAGCTGATCAATGTTCTTGTCACGAATAAATGATATGTCGGCTAAATAATATATATACAAACATATATGTGTGTTGATATTTCTGCATAGAGATAGAGTTACTGTAAAATACGGATTATTTTATAATTCGGATCAGGGTTCTGCAAATGCCCATGCCGGGCACATTGGGCACTATGCCTGGCATTAGTGCCTGAGCAGTGCCTATGCCCATGGGCTTAATGTGCCAGGCACTTTTGGGCCAGGCATTTTTTGTGGCATGGGCATTTTGTGCCCGGCACCTGTTTTTATAAGTGTTTAATATTTTTCAGTTAGGCACAAAGTGCCCATAGGCACAAAAGTGCCGGGCACTTTTAGAACAGGCACTCTGTGCCTATACCAATGTCTATGCCGGTGCCTTGAAATTTTTTAGTTGGCATGGGCACATGCCGTGTTTGCAGATCCCTAATTCGGATATAATTGAAGTTAAAAAACCCCAATTCAGGTATTATATAATTGAAGTTAAAAAAAACCAATCCGGTTTAGTCAAGATATAATTAAACTCGGATATCTAATAAGGTTTCGGTACAATTCGCGACAGCATTTCATTGAAAATAAATTTGTAGCTACAAATCTAGTCATTAGCTATAAATCTGGCTAACCCTAACTCTAAATAGGGCCCAAATTGCTGTCGGTGAAAGGTTGTTAGCTAAATTGATCAATACCATCTAATAATATACGATGGCAAGTTTCTCATTACCCTGCATGAATTTACTATATCGTTAGGCTGTATGAGGGTAACATAGTAGTCCCAAAGCCTCTTGAGTATAAATCTAAATGGATAAAAAAAGCTTCTGTTATTTCTCAGTTAATAAAGTGAGAAGTTTCTAAGATCTTCCCGGTCAAATAAACTAGCATAATAGTGACGATTTAATTTTTCATTATTGTTGACAATTGGTTTAGGCTAATGATGCCTGACAAAACTATTTTTGCGATGACGAAATGGTTTTGTCATGGTTTCGGCTGATGAAACTCTTGGCGATTGACGAAACCCCTGACGATTGACGAAACCCCCGACGATTGACGAAACCCCTGGCGATTGACGAACCCTGACTATTGACGAAACCCTTGACGATTGACGAAACCCTTGACGAAATCCTTGATTATTGAAGAAACCTTGACGATTGATTAATATTGACAATTTTTTCAAAAGTAATGTTATTTCATTATAAATTTTTATTGGCTTTATATGAAAAATTACTAATTTTTATAATGATGCTTGTGTTATTGAGAAAACTATAAAACTATGATTCGTAAAATTATTGACAAAATTACATATCATAAAAACTAAAATATGCTAATACATTGTCACACCTGATATCTGACCTCTAAAACAGATATGGGATGCTATATCTATATGACGATAGACAGGTGGTTCATATCTTAATGCCGGTATAGGTATCAGAATGTCTGTGAAAGGCAATAAAAGCGGCTATAACGAATATCGGTATATGAGGATACGGTGTTACTATCGTGGAAGAGCTAATAATAATCAGGCCAAGTTTAGTCAGGATAGTAAACTAGTAAAAAGAGGAGAAATAAAGTGGAGCACTTGTATAGATAAATAAAAGGTAGATATAAGCATGTAGCAAATAGATGTGGCTAGCAGAGTAAGTATATAGGTAGAGAGATGTAGTTGCGAAAAGATAGAGTAGATAGTATATGTAAAGTTAAGATAGTAGACAGAATACAAGCACTTAGCAGGGTACTCATAATGATCAAAATAATGAGGAACAAAGTGACAATGATGAAGAACTTGATATAAATTTTGAAGGTCTACCTGCTAATCTTATTCCTAATGATAAGGAAGCTCAAAAACTACTATTTCATTTTAATTGTCTAGTAACAGCTATGGAAACTAAACATACCTCAATCTATAAGGAAACTCATCTTGTTCCTTTTCTAACAATTAATGGAGGTGAACAGGATCCTCTTCTATAGTTGAATGATTTTGAAATAGCATGTAAATCTAACAATATTAATGCTACTTGAGCATTAATAATAGTTTCTTCCTATTTCAAAGGCTCTGCTAAATCATGATTTAATAGTATCCACTCAAATATATTTTCATGGGAGGATAATGCTCATCCTAACTAATCTTTTACTCATTGATTTAAACACCAATTTTGTTCACCTTATCAAAAATCCTAATAAATGTCTAATCTTCAATTCTAACTCAACAAATAAGTAAATCTGTAGAAGAATATTATACTAATCTTAAATATTTATATAGGAAAGTTGATCTACAAAAAAGCTATCCACCTGAGGATAAAATATATTAATTTATTAATAGACTTAATAATAAAATAAGGGAGCATGTTGAAATTTCTTGTTCTACTTTAATAGCTCAAGCTTTAATTAAAGCCTGCTGAAGCTTCTTTTTCTTGAGAAGTACCTTTAGAATTATATTCTTTAAATTGAAGCTACTTGAATTCTACCTCTTCTTCTAATATACAAAACAATACTGAACTTTCAATAATAAAAAAAGAAATTTCTAAATTAACTGAAGTAATGAAAAATTTTCTTTCTAACTGTAATAATTCTTTAAGGTTTAACAACTCCTCAAGGTTTAATAATACTTAAAACAATAATAATAATCAAAATTATCTAAATCAAAATAATTGAAGCCAAAATAATAATTTTCAACCTCTACCTATTTGATATCAAATATATAATTATAATAGACATAATGCTAGGATTGTTATAATATAATTCTTAAAGTAGAAATAGCAATAATAAAATAGAACTAATAACCAAAACAATAATACCAATAACTGTTCTCAACTTAATTAAAATAGTAATACTCCTTTTAATAATCATATTTCTAATAACAATTAAATATATTTTGCTCTTACCATTGAGAATATATAAGGAATTATCTAAACTGCAACACAGTCTTTAAACTCCTAAAAGTATGCTATAAGGACTATAGTGCCTCTAATTCTCAAACAAATATTTCTAATAATAATAATAACAATTCTTATAATAATAATATCCCTATATCAAATAACTCTCATAATAATAATATCTCTATATCAAATAACAATAACTTTTATATAAATATTGAAACCAAATTGAACTCAGCACCCTTACTGATTTCTAAAATAGACAAATTAAAAAATGTAGTTGATATTATATATTGCAATACCAATATTGATAATATATCTTTATATCTAATTTTGGATATTAGATCAGTTAAAAATATAATATCAAAATCTTTTTTGAATAAACCAAATAGAAAAATTAAAAAACTATCAAATATTAATATTACTGATATTATGAGCTCTGGAAATTAAGTCCAAACCAGGCCAGAACCCTAACATGATCACAGATCACATAGGTAAATTGCATAAATTGCATATAATGCATAAATAGTATATATTGCATATATGCCATATTTTGCATATATCGCATATATCATATAAATCACATTTAAGCGATATACTGCTTATATTACATTTATGCAATATATTAACTAAATGCAATAAATTAGATATAGTGAAGATATAGGGTAAAAGGCATAAATATAATAAACTGCTTGTAAATTTTATATTATAAATAAAGGCCGTATTGGCCCAGTGAAGAAAACAACTCTCCTAAGTTTTGCTTAGTAAATTGAGTTCTTTATTGAATAAATAATAATACATAAAATTCCAAATAACCTACTCTCGTTAAATTGTTTCTCAAACCCAATCTACTGTTTAACATAACTAACAGTAAGATTCTCATTACCTTGTCCATATGATACCTACCCCATAACTGTTCCAGTTAAGTCTTAACGTACCAAGACTAACCATGGTATTATTGTCTAGCTAACCCGACGGATTGTGGTTAGTTGTGGTTGTATTGTTTGTCCAATTACCTGATGAACTGTGATAATTGTAGTTCCAGTTTAGGATACACGATATACAGTTGTATCCAAGCTACCCAATTTTCAAGGTTCAAGTCCCCTACATGGTCTCCCCTGCTTAAGACACAAGATTAATATTAGAGAAGTAACACCCCAAGGCATAATCACTGAGAAGATTAAGAGAGTACTCACCTACGAACCCAAACCATCACCCAAATCTAAATGCCCTCTTTCAATTAAACCATTCATAGGTTATGCAAGGTTCTTGATAGTCAAGTGACTAACTCGCCATAATTTCCCGGTGGCAATATTAATAGAAAAAAAAGAAAATCATTTGAAACAATTAGTAATCTTTTTTTATCTTTATTAAATACTACTATATCTATAGATATTGAAGTAAATAATACTCAAGAATATATATTAATTGCTGGAGTTAATTGGATAAACAAAGTACAAAGCATCATTAATCTAAGAGAAGGATATTTTTAATTTATTTGAAATAATACAACACATATTATACCTATTACCTGTTAGAAAAAAGCAAAATACCAAAATAGTAAGCCTCTTAACATTAAGGAAAATAATCCTTCTATAAATAATAATAATGATAATAATGATAATGAATATGAATTTGATAATAAATTTGAGGATTCTAAAGGATTTGTAGTAATAGAAAATAATGATAAAACTTTTATACTTGAAGTTAATAATGACCAAGTAATATATAAAAATATAACAATTAATAGTTATGATTATAAAATAACAAAAACTTTTGATTCAAAAAATACAAAATGTTGGTATAATAAAAAATTAAAATGTTGTCTAATATGCACTAAGTTAAAAGATACTATAAATTGTTTTACTAAAAAGAGAATTTTTCTCTAGAAATCTCTAATGAAAATATTAAAAATTCTGTATTAGAAAAATTTATAGAAGAATATGATTTTATATTCTCTAAAGATCTTCATGATTTAAGAAAAACTTCTATTGACCAACATCAAATTATTATTGAAAATACTTTACCTATTCACCAAAAAGCCTATTAAATATCTCTTGCTAAACATAAATTTATTCAAAATTAATTACAAGTAATG